ACACTTTCATCGTGATCTAGTGCATTTTCTGCTCCTCTTCTTTTTCGTGGGTTCTTATCCTTAGAACCAAATGGCCTTCCATGCTTCAGGCGTTGTTTTAGACTCTTGAGTGACTTTATCATCAGATTGTCCATGTGGAATGTCAATTCGAGCTGGAACATTGACAGGTGGTATATATGATTTAGTCACCCTTTTTGTGTTAGTAAATGCATCAGGTAATTGATTTGCCATTCTTGGAAATGCATTATCTTTTGAACTTCCATGTCACATTGCTTTGTCGAGGGTCAAGATATGATAAAGCAGGCTCATGCCATGACACATCCTTTTCCAGAAGAATCTTTTTCTCCACCTAATGATGGGAAATTTGCCTCATCAAATTGACAATCTGCTAGGCGTGCTGTGAAAACATCACCTGTTAATGGTTCAAGATATCTTATAATAGAGACTGACTCATAACCAACATATATTCCCAACCTTCTTTGAGGACCATTTTTGTCCATTGAGGTGGTGCAATAGGGACTATACTGCACACCCAAAATTCTCAAATAGGATATATTTGGCTCTTGACCGAAAGCAAGTTGTAGTGGAGAATATACATGATATGGAACCTTGGTCTCATGCGTATAAATGATCCAGCATGTAAGATTGCATGGCCCCCAAACAGAAACAGGAAAGTTTGGTCCTCATATCAATGGTCTAGCTATTAGCTAGAGACGTTTAATCAGTGATTCAGCTAAACCATTTTGTGTGTGTGTACATGAGCAACTGGATGCTCAACAACAATTCCTACAGACATACAATAGTCATTAAATGCTTGTGAAGTAAATTCACCAGCATTATCAAGTCTCACTCTTTTGATAGTATAATCAGGGAAATGTGCCCTTAATTTAATAATTTGGGCAAGAAACTTTGCAAATGCCATATTACGAGTTGATAATAGGCAAACATGAGACCATTTGCTGGATGCATCTATTAAGACCATAAAGTATCTAAATGGTCCAGATGGTGGTGAATCGGTCCACATATATCACCTTGAATTCTTTCTAGAAATCTAGGTGACTCCCTTTCAACTTTCATTGGAGAATGTTTTATAATTAACTTTCCAAGGGAACGATGTACATGGTTTTATGCTATTGGATTGAGGGAACTTTTGGTCCTTCAATGGATGCCCGTGTGTATTCTCAATTATCCTTCGCATCATTGTTAATCCTGGGTGGCCCAACCTATCATGCCATAAACTGAATGTCCCAGGATCACAATGTTTTCCTTCTACTACCATATTTGATTCAATCATATGTATATATGTATAATGCAGACCAAAATCAAGTGTTGGTAGTTTTTCAAGCACATGGTTTTTGTCTATAATATACATATATTTCTTATTTTCAATGGTCACAGTTTTTGTGTCATAACCTTTGAAATATATGTCATTGAAACTTAATAAGTTTCTATTAGACTTTGGAGAAAATAAGGCATTTTCTATACAAAGCTTGTACCATTGGTAATATAAAATGAGCTTTCCCGGTTTTCCTCTATCAAGTCTACAGGACCTGATGTTGTATATATGACTGTTTTTGTTGGTACTAATTCTGAAAAATATTTCTTTGATTTCAGAATAGTATGTGTACTACCACTATCTGCTATACAAAGATCTCCAATCTTTTCTTGGTGTTGTGCTCCAGTTGGACTCATATTAAACTTCACATATAAAATGAATAATAAGTGTATAAACGTAATCATAATTATTATTAAAAAGAAAGCTCATTTATTGTAGGAAAGACATTACATGAAAAACAAACGAAGGAAAAACAGTTTTACTAGAACAATAATAGATTTTTTTTTAGTTTATGTCTTCCATGTCATTACAGAAATCAGCAACATTTAGCGGAGTGAATATCCAACATTATCAATGAGGGTTTGCTTCTTTTCCTTTTCCTTTAATGGACTCTTGATAAAGTTGACAAAGATGTGCAAGTGTGCGAGGGTCCTTGACCAATGGCCTGTGCTACCACATCTAAACATGAACCATCAGATTTTGTGATGTCCCAGTGTCATGCCTTGCCACTTTGGCCTTATCTTGTGTGTGGACATTGTTTCTTTGTGAATATTGGTAATTATTTCTTTTCTGGCCCGACCACGATTATTACCTTGTCCCACGACCAAAATTATGGTTCTGATTATGGCTTTGGTTCGATTAAAATAGCCACGGCCTCGCCCTCGACCACGACCCTCGCCCTCGTTCACGTGTATTGTTTCGATGACCATCAATATTTGTCGCATTTGCTTCAGGAAGTGTACTGATCCCGTTGACGAGCTTCATGTTTTTTCATTAAGAGTTCATTGTTTTGCTCTGCAACGAG